GAAGAGCTTCCAGTTTTTAGTAGACATGACTTGGGGTTCCCCCCCAAAACAATCCCTCGCCACAATCTACACTAAGCACAACTGCCCCTTCGGTATATTTAATGGTATACACATACCCTTTGGCGCCTCGATATTCTAACTTAAATACAGTCCCATCTACGGCGTTTTCACAGCGTTGCTTTTTACGTTGAGGACCCCGACTGCATACTCCTGTAGACATACCTAGAGCGGCTGTGGTATGGGCGATGTCCTGGCTGGGTGTCATGGTTGATGCATATGTCATCCTGTGCTCCTTAGGTCGATGAGTCGGGGATCCTTAGCGCGATGTGTCTGTGCTCCGTAGGCCGTGGCGGTGATGCTCTTAGAACAGTGGTTCTTAACCTGGGTTCGATCGAACCCTAGGGGTTCGGTGAGTCGGTCTCAGGGGTTCGGCAGAGCCTCCACTATGACATGCATGGCTCATTTTGTGCACCAGTAAAAAACATATGTATGTCTTGAATTTGAAAAAAATCATATTTTATTTTTCACTAAAGAGGGGTTCAGTGAATGCGCATATGAAACTGGTGGGGTTCGGTACCTCCAACAAGGTTAAGAACCACTGTCTTAGAATGTGAAAGGATCACTTTTATACCTATATAACCTACGCCATCCCACTAGGAGGAGTCGTTACCGCCCAGAGGGTGTGTTTTCCACACCTGAACGCGCATGCCCCGACCACATCTGAACGCGCATGCGCACACGCACGAAACCGGTCAAACCGGTTGTCAAAGCGGTTTGGTTGGCCGCCATCTTGGACTAATGCCCCCTTATTACTACTAACAGAGGCTAACATTGCTAGGATTATGCACTTGAATTGAAAGGAGAAAGAAACTAGAATTTAGTAAATTGCAGATTACATCTGCAATTTAGTCAGGGATCTGCAATTTAGTCAGGGATAATTTGTGACACAAGCATAGCAGCAAGAGTGAAAGGTAAAGATTACAAGATGATAGTGAGACCTGCTATGATGTATGGTTTGGAGATGATGGTAGTGACAAAAGGGCCCACCAACCACATATGATTGTGTTACTGGTGCCAGACCTAGAGCAAATCTAGACCTCTATCAATAGAAAGAACACTGCAGTTAGCATCTTTCTAATAGCACATGCTTGGTGTCTATTTCGGTATACCAGGTTGTATTTTTTCCCTAACACCTGAGCCAGCTCACTACTAGCTGTTGATCAACTGCTATCTATTCTACCACCAATCAACACAATGTATCAAACCCCTAAAGTTTCTACTGGTGGTAGCCGACCCACAGGAGATGGGACACATGTGGCTCTTTCAGGCTAGGCCCAACCAGCCACGAGACATTCCCCTCAAGCCTATACACCAAAGTTCCAGTAACCTTGTTGTGGAAAAGGTAACTGTGTCTCTTGATAATTATTTCCACCCTTTCCACAAATCCACCACCATCTGTTTTCCTGCATTTCTCTCCTTATTATCTTACCTGTCCAACACCTCTTCAGCTTCTCTATTATTTTGATCTACACGTCCATCAACATCTGCTCCTTGACAAGTCTCTCCCCTATGGG